GGAGCTAGGTCTCCATGGTAACTGATGCTGCAGAGCTAGGTCTCCATGGTAGCTGGTGCTAACCTGGTCCAGGTTCTGCTCAGCGTCTCCCTTTAACTGTTTCCTGATGATGATGTTTTCTCTGTGAACCTGCTGATCTGTACGTTACTGAAACACTGAATGAAGCAGTTCCAGCATCACACACTGGAGGCATCCTGTTGCCATGGAAACCTACGTGTGTTCAGCTGCTGATGCAGAAATCACATCAACATGTTTCTATGTTTACTGTGCTGGTCCTGCAACTGATAGATCACTGATTAGAACATTGATTACCTATTGGTATTTATTACAGAGAACATCCAATCAGGAGCATTGATTCACTTTGATTTGTCGTTATTAAAGTGATTTCCTGCCTCATGGGACAGAGTCAGATCTGAATGAGCTGCAGTACAAGATCAGGGTTAAATAGATGAGGTTTAAAGTTTAACAGCTTCAATAATCAGCTGTCAGTGATCAATAATCAGCTGCATTGATCAGGACCATCCATAGTGACCACATGGTGAGCAGGTCTCCAGCAGCTTCCAGTCCTGCATCATCTCCAGCAGCAGCTCTTTAAAGTCACAGTTCTTGATGTTCCTCGTTGTTCTCATTAGAACAAGCTGCTGGCTGAAGCAGGAGAGTCACATGATGCGTTAAGCGCCTCTTTTGATGAGAGTCTGAGGCAGAAAACCTGGTCCACTAAGAACGCTGATGAATACCTGCTGATGCCTCTGATTGGAGTTTTGTTGATGGACTCTGGATTGAAGCCTGGATATGTTGAACCTGCTTCGTAGTTCCGCTATCAGGACTGTCAGAAACACCACAAAGAAGTGTTGTGTAACGAACACGTCTCAGTGTTGCTCTGAACACAGAAGCATTTTGTTTCTCTGAGAAAAAAACGAACATAAAGTAAACACTAACCTGAGAGTTTACGCTTGATTTACTAGATGACGTCTCTAAGTCCAGCCTGTCCACGCTGGATGTCTGCGTCACCTCCGAGGATCGACGCTACTTCATCAGCGAGACGGACGACATTTCCAACTTAGAGAGCAGCGTCCTGGAGAGTCCTCGAGACACTCAGCTGTGGATCAAACTGGCCTTCAAGTACCTGAACCAGAGCGAGACGTAGGTGGCCGACGCCTTGCCGATCGCAGCGGCCAGGGTTTCTGCTCTGATTTAACCTTCCTGCTGTGTTTATCCTGCAGCCCTGCAGCAGAGAGCCTGGAAGCCGCCCTCAACACGCTGTCTCGAGCTCTGGAGAGCAACTGTGACGACCCTGAAGTGTGGAGCCACTACCTGTCGCTGTTCTCCAGGAGAGGCAGCCGCGAGGAGGTGCAGGAGATGTGCGAGATGGCGGTGGAGCACGCTCCAGACCACCGGGTCTGGTGGAACGTAAGTCTGCAGGTCCTCTACTCGCCCGTCACCTAATCTACAGCGTTTCACAGAAAAGCACACGACATGAGCCGACGTCACAACTGAAACTTGTGCAAAGATGTGTCACAGCTGCAGTTTGTTGACATGTTACAGCTGTAGTTTGTTGACATGTTACAGCTGCAGGTTGTTTACCTGACATGTCACAGCTGCAGGTTGTTTACCTGACGTGTTAACACTGCTCTCTGCCCTTAGTACCTGAGCCTGGAGAGCTCTTTCGAGGGGAAGGACTACGTCTGCGAGCGTCTGCTGCACTTCTTGCAGGAGGAGGCGTCCTCTGGTGTGTCGGAGAAACTGTCCTTCCAGCTGATGGAGGTTCTGCTCTACAGAGTCCAGCTCAGTCTGTTCACCGGTCGCATGGAGAGCGCTCTGGCCCTGCTACAGGTGAGACAGTGCTGTTACCTGCACAGGATCTGTGCCACTGTCATGTTTGAACGAGTTAATAATACTGTAGAGTCCTGAATAGTCCGACTAATGTAAGATGACTCTTGTCCTGCAGCAGGGACATTTCAGTGGTACTGCAGCAAAGAGTGCAGACACGTCAGGACATCAGTGAAAACTAAAAGTAAACCATAAACCTACATCAGCACATTGTAGTCAGACGCAGTGTGGAACCGTAATAAACACTGACAGTAGTTCACCGGTGTGATCGTAGTTCCTTTCATCACGTTCATCTCCGTCATTATTAACACGACATTATTTGTGAAGTTGAGTTTTGCATCATTTTGCAATGTGTAAATCCTTAATATTTAAACTACTGTTATTTAAATTCAAAGTAGAAATAAGACTGTCGCGTCTTATTCTCAGTATTTAAATCTGTCAGGTTCGTTCTTATTGTTCTGTTTTAAATGTTCTTCATAAATAACTAAAACCTGAGTGTCAGTCCGATCACCAGTACAGCGTTTCAGGTCAAACATTTCACATGTTCTGCATGTACAAAGGTTCAGAAACACTCCTGCACACTGGAACCTGCAAAACTGCAGTTCTTCATTCAGTCGAGAATCACGGATTTAAACTGAGCTGCTCGTGTGGTTCTGATTTCAGAACGCCTTGAAGTCGGCTCAGGACCGGAGCATCGCCGATCACCTGCTGCCGGCCGACCGGGCGCTGCTCTGGCTCTCCTTCATCCACCTGACCGAGTTCGACCGGCTGCCTTCCGGCCTGCTGGACCCGGCGGAGTCCGGCCCGTCCAGGCTGGTGAGCAGAGAATCCTTCATGCTGCCGTGGAGGACGGAGCAGGACGTCAGCACGCCGCCCGACATCCTCATCGCCCTGTTCCAAGGTAGGAGACCCAACGAGTCCAGAACAGGACAAAATGACTTGGAACTTGTCCAGAATCATTCAAAGTTTGTCCAGAATGGCTCCTCCGTGCGGGAACAGAACAGAACCAGAGGGTAGAACGTTTCTCACTGTGTTGTTTCAGACGCCATCAGTCAGTGCAGCGACGAGTCTGACCGGACGCTGGTCTGCCTCCCTCTGCACACCAACCTCATCCTCCTCCACAAGCTGCTGCACAGGTGAGACCAGAGCAGAGGTTTATCTCAGCAACATAGAGAAACCCTGAAGCTGAGTGTGAAACAGGATCATCAGAGCTGCTGGTTCATCGACTCTCCAGCTGCAGTTGCTGCTCGAATCTGAAAGAAAACTCTGCCGGATCTCAAAGTTCCATGAAAGAATTCTGATAGAACATCATCTACTCTGATTAAGGTTCTTGGACCCACTGAGTTTAATACAATTTATTTAAAAGAGTTCTTTGACTTGCAGTAACATAACAACACCTCTTCTGTCAGAAGGTCCTGGTCCCACCAGGCGGCAGCAGGTAGAACCACAACATCTGCTGGAGCTGGTTGGGTTCCTCAGCTAAAACACTGCTTTAGTTCCATCTGCTGTCTCAGTTAAAGCCATGAAGAAGTTCACCTCATAGAGACTCCGTAAGCTTTGCAGAGTTTAACAGCAGTTTGAAGGTTCCCAGAAATCTGCACAAAATGTTCACCACCACAGAACTTTAATTCATCGTATTGATTATCTGGTGCTGATGGACTTGAAGTTTGATATAGTTTCATGTATTGAATGTTCTGTGGTTGTTCCTCTCTCTGTACGTGCACTCGCACAACAGATGCTAATTAGCTGCTAACTTTGGTACAGTTGCCTTAAATTGTGTCCCTAAAGGATACATGAACAGACAAGAACCAGGAGGAGATGGGCTGCAGACAGAGCAGCAAACAGAACCATGGTCAGAACTTTAACTCACCTGAAAACTTGTTCAAGATGATAAATGACAAAACAAAGGCTGAACATTTCACCAACACGATGCCAGGGTCAGCAGGTGGACAAACACGCCTGTACCTCTGTAATAGCTCCACCTGGTGGGGCAGCCAGGTACTGCAGGTCATCTACAGCAGGTTCATCTGCTGCCACCTCAGTTCATCGGGTTTTAATCGGTTATTGATCAGCAGTTTGTCCTGAAGCGGCTGATGATGATGATGATGATGATGATGATGATGATGATGATGATGACGACGACGATGGCGATGACGTGCGTCCCTGCAGGTACGACGAAGGTGTCGCTCTGTGTGAGTCTCTGCTGGAGCTTCGTCCGGACTCATGCGCTTTGAGAGACGCCCTCGCCGACCTCCACCTACAAAGAGGGAACGGCGAGCAGGCAATGGGGGTGTGGCTTCACGCTCTGGCAGAGTGTCCTCACAATGCAGAGGTGTTCTACCGTTGCTGCAGGTTCCTCATGGCTCAGGTGAGCTCACCTGTCTGACTCGTTCAGTGCACTGCTGACCATCACCTGACTGAGTCGAACCTTCATCCTGTTGACATGTGACCCACAGGACCAGTCGAGCGCCGTCGTCCCTCTGTTCCGGGGTTTCGTCCTGTCATTCTGTGACGACCAGCACAGTCAGAGCACACCTGTGGACGTCCTGCGGTATGTAGAGCTCCCCACAGGTGGAGACGGGAGTGCAGCAGCGACATCTGGTGTTACTTTGTGTAACTTTCTGTGTCTCCTCAGTCTTGTCCTCGGTTTTCCTTCCAATCACCTGCTCAGAGGTTCGATCATCAGGAAGGAGCTTCAGGAGCAGCTGAGTCAGCAGAAATCCTTCCTGCACCTGATTCACTGGTGGGTTTAACTCACCGGTTAACTCACTGGTTAACTCACAGATTAAACTCACTGGTGAACTCACTGGTTAACTCACCGGTTAACTCACTGGTGAACTCACTGGTTAAGTCACATGTTAACTCACAGGTTAACTCACTTGGTTAACTCACTGGATAACTCACCGGTTAACTCACTGGTTAAGTCACATGTTAACTCACATGTTAACTCACTTGGTTAACTCACTGGATAACTCACCTGATTAACTCACAGTGTTTATCTCTTTTTGAGCACACTGAAGGACGTTTGGAGATAGCTTGTAGTTGGTCATCAGAGCTCCATGTGTTCTTTCTGTTAATTTGCTAATGTTCTGGGTGTTGATGTTTGTCTTGTGTGGATCAGAGTTTCCTGGTGATTAGTTTGCTGTCTTGAGGTTGAAGCTGCGGATGGTTTGAACATTCATTCAGCACATTTAATAATCATTACAGAGACCTCAGAAACAGATTCTAAATTAACCCATCATGTTTAAACACTGAGCTTTAGATCCTGTTTTTGTAGTGTTAGTGTAATCGTTAAAATATTAACAATTAATTTTAGCCTGAGAACCTCCATTTATCCATCCATCCATCCATGTTCTTCTGCTTATCCGGGGTCGGGTTGTGGGGGCAGTAGGCAGAGCAGGTCATTCCAGACTTCCCCTTTGCCGGCGATGCTTTCCAGTTCTTCCTGGGGGGAACCTGAGGCCAGCCAAGAGATATAATCCCTCCAGCGGATTCTGGGTGTGCCCTGGGCTCTCCTCCGAGGTGGACGTGTTTGAAAGATCTCCAGAGGAGGCCTCTTCGGAGCTACCCGAATCAGATGTCCATACTGCCTCAACTGGCTCCTTTCGACACGCAGGAGCAGCAGCTCTACTCCGAGCTCCCTCCAGATGTCCGAGCTCCTCACCCTATCTCTAAGGCTGAGCTTGTATCCGCGATCTCGTGCTTTTGGTCATGACCCAGGCTCGTGACCATAGGTGAGGGTTGGGACGTAGACAGACTGGTAAATCGAGAGCTTTGCCTTGCAACTCAGCTCTCTCTTCACCACGACGGTCCGGTGCAGCGCTACATTACTGCTGACACTGCACCGAGCCACCTGTCCACCTTGCGCTCCATTTTCCCATCACTCGTGAACAAGATCTCAAGATACTTAAACTCCCTTACCCCCCACCCGGAGATGGCAATCCACTGGTTTCCGGCAGAGGACCATGGCCTCGGACTTGGAGGTACTGATCCGCATCCCCACCACTTCGCACTCGCAAACCGCTCCAATGCATGCTAAAGATCACAATGTGATGAAATCAGCAGTACTATGTCGTCTGCAAAAAGCAGAGACGCGATCCTGAGGTCCCCAAACCGAACATTCTTGTCACCCTGACTGTGCCTTGAGATCCTGTCCGTGAAAACCACAGACAGGATCAGGGACAAGAGGCAGCTCTGGCGGAGTCCAACACCCACTGGGAACGTGTCCGACTTATTGCCGAGAATGCAGACACAGCTTGCACTTTGGCTGTACAGGGACCAAATGGCTCGAAGCAGCGAGCCTGGTACCCGATACTCCCTCAGTACCCCCCACAGAGTTCCTCGGGGGACACGGTCATAGGCCTTCTCCAGATCCACAAAGCACATGTGGACTGGCAGGTCGAATTCCCATGCCCCCCTCAGCAGCTCCGCAAGGGTAAAGAGCTGGTCCACTGTTCCACGACCCTGGCAGAATCCGCATTGCTCCTCCTGAATCCAAGGTTCGACAATCGGTCGGAGCCTCCTTTCCAGCACCCTAGAGTAAACTTTCCTGGGGAGGCTGAGAAGTGTGATGCCCCAGTAATTGGAACACACTCTCTGATCCCCCTTTTTAACAATGGGAACAACCACCCCGGTCTCCACAGACACCACACCCGATGCCCACGCGACACTGAAGAGATGTGTCAGCCACAACAGTCCGACAATGTCCAGAGCCTTCAGCATCTCCGGGCGAGTCTCGTCCACACCTGGCGCTTTGTCACCGAGGAGCTTCTTGACTACCTCAGTGACCTCAACCACAGATATGGACGCAGAAACCCCTGAGTCTTCAGGCCCTGCCTTCTCAGCAGAGGAATTGTTTACCAGGTTCAGGAGTTTCTCGAAGTACTCCTTCCACTGCTCGACAAGATCCCCAGTCTGGGTCAGCAGTTCTCCTACCCGGCTGTACACAGCATGGACGAATCCCTGCCTCCCCATTCTGAGGCATTGGACGGTTTGCCGGAATTTCTTTGAGGCCGACCCAAAGTCCTTCTCCATAGCCTCCCCAAACTCCTCCCACACCTGAGTTCTAGCTTCCACAGCTGCAGCCCTTTTGGCCAGCTGGTACCTGCCTGCTGCTTCAGGAGACCCCCGAGCCAGGCAGGCCTGAAAGGGCTCCTTCTTCAGCCTGCCGGCTTCCCTCACCGCTGGTGTCCACCAGCGAGTTTTTGGGTTGCCACCATGACAGGCACTAGTGACCTTCTGGCCACAGCTCCTAACGGCTGCTTCTGCAACGGAGGTTTTGAACATGACCCACTCTGACTCCATGTCCCCAACCTCCCCCGGGATGCAGGAGAAACTCTCTTGGAGGTGGGAATTGAAAACCCCACAGACGGGGGCCTCTGCCAGACATTTCCAATTCACCCTCACTACACGTTTGGATTTACCAGGTCTGTCCGGCAGCCTTCCCCGCCATCAGATCCAACTCACCACCAGGTGGTGATCAGTTGACAGCTCTGCTCCTCTCTTCGCAGAGAGGCGACCTTCTCGTTCTCCGGGGAGAACTCAAACATGGCGGCACTCAGCCAGGGGCTTGTGAGTATCCCACACCTGCCCGGCGCCTCTCGTGGGCAACTCCGGAAAAGGAGAGAGTCCAACCCTTGTCCAGGAGTTTGGTTCCGGAGCCCTTGCTGTGCGTGGAGGTGAGCCCGACTATATCTAGCTGGTAAAGCTCCACCTCCCGCACCAGCTCAGGCTCCTTCCCCGCCAGTGAGGTGACGTTCCATGTCCCAAGACCTAGTCTACGCCACCAGAGGGTGGTACGCCAGGACGTCCGCTCCTGCCTACCACCTGGTGGGCATAGCACCCGACCCCAATCTTTTGCCCTGTGGGCCCTCTGGGCAGTGGCCCCGTGTTACTTATTCAGCCTGTGCCTGACCAAGCCCCATGGGGCCCCAAGGTTTGGTCACCAGATGATCCCGAGCGAGCCCCCAAAGGCCTGGCTCCAGGAGGGTGCCCCAGTTTCCCTAATCTGCTCGTTGTCTGGTCCCTCCTCTAAAACCAATTTGCCTTGGGAGACCCTACCAGGGGCTAATGCCCCAGACAACATAGCTCCCAGGATCACAGGGACACTCAATCCCCTCCACTGCAATAAGGTGGCGATTCATCAGGGGGCTTGAGAAACTGCAGGTTGTTTAATTGTTCATTACACTGACTAATTTAGAACGAAGCTAGGACTCTACAGAAACACACGAAAACCCAACAAATTGCAGGAGTCCTGAATCCCTTTTTTTTTTTTTTACTTTTGTGTATTATTTTGTTTTATATATTTTTTATTTTGTAATTTTTAAATGTAATTTTTGAGTTAATATCATAAATATTTATTTTTATATTATGTAGTAGATTTAATTCATCTAATTTTATTGTTCAGAGTTTTGTTGTTGCTGGCAGCGGCTGCACAATTCTAATGCTAATGTGTTGCTGTGTTGCAGTCGCTGGCAGTGGCTGCATGGTTCTGCAGATCAGACGGTGGAAGCGTTTGAGAGAGCTCTGGGCTCAGCGCTGCAGCTGGATGAGCTTCACACGCTGTGGATGGAGTGAGTTCCTGTTCTTACTGCTGCAGGTTCGGCTGCATTGCTGCCTCTCACCAACTGTGGTTCTTCTCTTCAGCTACCTGCTGTTCAGCTGCAGCCCGCAGGCCCGCGACCCAGCTTGGGCCAGACGCTTCTCCGACTTGGTGCAGCGCTGCCTCAGCACGGTGCCAATCCGCCTCCAAGTTCCCTTCAACCCGGCAGAGTTCTGGAGCTGCTACAGCTTCCACAACAAGGCAAGAGCAGTTCTGCTGCTGCTGAAGCTGCATGCTAACGTGTTCTGTTCAACATGTCTGAAGAAGCTGTGAATAAGGTTCTTCAAGGAACATCATAGTGCTGATGTCTGTTCCTCCATGTACAGGTGGTGACTCTGTACCTGAGCTGCCTGCCGCCGTCCCAGCATGCACTGGTGCTGGAGAGGCTGCGATACGCGATGCCCAACAACACCGAGCTGGGACTGAGGTACACTGAGTGGTGGTGCTGGTATGGTTGCTGCTGTTTTTGGTGTTGCTGTTCATGTCAGCACTGTTGCGTTGCTATGCAGGTTGCTCCATCAGGAGTTTCAGGATGGGAACATGGAGCAGCTGAGGTTTCAGGCCCGTATGCTGAGCAGCAGCGCCCCCAGGTGTCTGTCGGTGTGGAAGATGTGAGTGAGCTGATCAGTCTGAACCTTGAACTCACACATTCCTGCTGACATTATAAACACAGTCATCTGCAGATTATTTCAACAGTTGTGGTCCGTTAAACTTGCTCTGGAGTTCTGGCCTCGTCCTTGCACATTTGATTTTTTTCCAGCTTTGGAACAAAACCACAAAATGATCAAATAACAGTCAGTGAGTCTCGAGAAACACCACGGCTGTAAATGCTGTTTCCAGGTGAAGGCTGGTGACTACCAGGGATGTTAGTGATCACTCAGTTACCTGCTGTTAATTACCACTGTAACCAATAAGGCAGAAGAATCTGCTGTGGTACCTGGAGGCCAGCAGGTTCACTGATCACAAGGTTGGTGGTTCATCCCCATCCACATGATGAAAGACTCCGAACCCCAAGTCGGTCCCGATGGCAGCTCCGTCGCCATGAGTGTGAATGAGACACACATCAGCTAAGGCAGAAGGACCGTGTACAAGCCCTGGCAGCAATGATGGACCCACCACTCTAGGAGGACGTTCATTCAACCGTTTCATTCTGGAGCGGATCACAGACGTGACACAAAACTATTTTTATTCAAAATGCCAACCTCCTGGCTTTAAGAAACATTAAAGAAAGAAAGAAAGAAAGAAAGAAAATGTCGTCAATCACAATAGCTTTTTTAGATCCAGCAGAGAAAAAAATATGGAATCACTTAATTCTGTTGAAGATGTTCTGGAATCACCCTGCAACAACAAACACCAGCATCAGATTCAATCTGCTCATTAGCCTGCAGTTGAAGAAGCGTGCTCACAGTGTGGAGAGCTGTGGCACCAGCACACTGACATAAATCACAGCTCCAACACCACAGATGTCAGTTGAAACAAAGCAGAGGATTATAAAACGTCTTCAAGAAGGTAAATCATCAGAACATTGCAAAAGATGTTGGTTGTTCACAGTCAGCTGTGTCTACAGTCTGGACAAAGCACAAATAAAATGGGAGGTTGGAAAAGGGAGGCCTGGTAGACCAAGGAGGACATCAAAGCGTCAAGACAGAACCCTGAAAGCAGTACGTCTTAAAAACAGAAAATGCACAACAAATGAGTAACAAATGGGCAGAAACTTGAGTCAGAGTCTGTGACCGAATGTAAGAAACCACCTTCAAGAAATGAGATGGACGCACAGAAACGCCCAGCAAAGGAAAAATCATTAACACCTGCACAGAAAAACCAGGTTACAGCGGGCCAGAGACAAGCAGGGATGGACTGTGGATGACTGGATGGAAGTGATACTGGTGATGGATCACTAATCTGCACTGGGCAAGGTGATGATGCTGGAGCTTCAGTTTGGTGCCGTTCCAGTGAGATTTATGAGGGAAACATGCAGATTTCCAGTCATTGATGATACAAGGCTGCAGTCAGGTAAAGGCACGGGGAGGTGGCAGTCAGCACATCTTCAATAAATGCACAAGTCTACATCGAACTTCTGGACACTTGTCTGACTCGGATGTTTGGTGATGATGACGCCATTGTTCAAGATGGGATTGCATCTTGCCACACGGCAAAAGACGTGAAAACTTCCCTTCAAGAAAGACTTACACTCCTGAACAAAATCTGAAGACTGGAAGAAAAAAGTCTTCGCATTTTGTGCTGGTGGATCGTAACCAGGGCGTAAGTCGAGCTTTTGAATGCAAAAACAAGAAATAGGAGCAAAGAAAAAACAAGAGGCAGGTTATTGAAAACTGCATTTCAAGTCAAACAGGCTGTTCATCAGCTGATTAGCAGTTTAAGACAACAGCCCAAAAAAAACCCAAAGCAGGACTGGAAGTGTCAAAAAAGGACTTGGCAGTGAGTAGCCCCACCGTGGTTGAGGCGTGCTTGGCGGAGCGTCTCAGGAGGCTGGAGGGAACGTGGCTCTATGTGGTGGAGATGGCTGCTCAAAGGCCTCCACGGTCTGGAACTGACGCCATCCATCCACAAACGTTAGATCAGAGGAACATGCAGGGTGGTCCAAAAGAGTGACGTTCTCCTGGAAGAAGTCCTTGGTCAGGTGGGCATCGTCCTGCTGACAGACCCAGTCCAGAGGACACCTGCAGTATGCTGGTCCACTGAAGGAAGATGGTGGAGCTGTGCAGCGTAGAGTGGGATGGCCTCGTCATGCAGCAACGCTGGAAACAGTCAGACACATACAGGTTACGTTCTTCAGAGAACAAAACTGTCTTCCACCTTTCAGTGTGTCATGTTCAGTACTCCCTATCAAAGTACAAACGGGCACGTTTGTGGCATGGGAGGAGACGTGGCCTTTCAAGACGTTTTTCTTTGCAGATGTGGACTTGTGATTATTGGGCTGCAGGCAGCATCAGTAAGGGCCCGAGTCTGGGTCGAGGATCGACCTGTGTCTTCACAGCCCGTCTGATCCTCCAGCTCGGCACAGGGAAATGTTGGGGGTCTGCCGCTGGACTTTTCGTCCCATAACCCTCAGGTTCTTTTAAGAAATTTAAAATGAATGACTGCCTGCGTCCAACCTCGGCAGCGATGGTAAAGACGCCCTGGTGGAACAGCTCAACAGTCCTGCCACCTCCAGACACACAGGGCCTTAGCTGTCAGGAGGCCATGACAGTGTGAAGGCCTGACAGGAAAGGACAGAAAAGCCAATTTTTTGTGCAGATTCTGCCTTTTAAAGGCTGTGATCTAAAACTGCTGATCAGCTGGTGAACAGCCTGTTTGACTTTAAATGCAGTTTTCTGTAACCTGCCTCCTGTTTTTTTTCTTTGCTCCTGTTTCTGTCTTTGCACTTTGAAGCTCGACTTACACCCTGGTAACCATCCACCAGCACAAAATACCAATACTTGAAATTTTTCCGCTGGTCTCAAGATTTTGTTCAGGAGCGTACATTGTCAAGGGCGTGACCTGCAAACAGTCCAGATCTCAGTCCAGTTGAAGATCTGTGGTGGACACTGAAGAACATGGTCCATGACAAGGCTCCGACCTGCCAAGCTGATGTGGTTACAGCAATAAGAGACAGTTGGAGGCACATTGATGAAGAATCCTGTTTGTCAGTAGTGAAGTCATAAAAGCCAGAGGTACGAATGGTTCAGTGTTTTTCCACGACTCCAGAACAGTTTCCTCAGAACTGAGTGGTTCCATATTTCTTCTGCTTGATCTAAAAAAAAACCAGTTGTGACCAACTACAACAATTTTCTTTCTTGTTTTTTTTTTTTTTTAATGTTTCTTAAAGCCAGAAAGTTGCTTTTTGAATAGAAATGGTTTTGTGGCATGTCTACGATTTGCTTTTTTCCTACAAAATTAAACATTGAATGAACATCCTCCATCGTTGTGCCAGGACTGGTCTTGGTGCAGACTCGTTGCCATTCCCCTGGTTGTACACACCTTCAGAATGATGTCCAGAGTGAGCCGACTCGATTCTCTCTCAGTTCTGGTTGGAACCTCCTCAGAGTCTCTGTCATGGTCCCGTTGCTGCTAAACTCCCACAATGCTCTGTGCTGCCACCATGAGCTGTAGTCTGTAGACGCCTCCTCTGGTCTCTACAGGACTAAACAGTGAGAGGCTCCACCTGGTGGGACAACCAGGTACTGCAGCTGGTCGACGTTACATTTACTGACATCAGGACCTTCTTCTTCTGCCTTCATCGGTTGTTATGTTTTTAATCTGTAGAAGTATTGACAGAATGAAGCAGTAATCATTAACAACCCTGGTGGGGTTGGATGTGCACGTGGCAGTAGCTGACCACAGAACAGGGTAGAATCTGCTGTGGTGCTGTCGTTGCTGACAGTTTTTGTTTTGTGTGCAGAGCGATTGCTGTGGAGAGGGAGCTGAAGCAGCGGTCGGAGGTGAGTCGCTGATGGAGGGACACTCAGCTGCCTGATTAGTGCTCAAACTGGTTTCTGCTGGTAATAACCAACCAGAGCTGACGTCTGGTTCTGTGACTGTGTGCTCACTCAGTCTGGAACAGAATAGATGGAAGTCAGATTTTAGCTTATGGTTCTGTGAAGACGTCCAGGTCTGTAAACTCTGAGGGAGTCTGATGAAGCTGCTGTGACAGCTCGCAGCCACCAGGTGTCACTGTGATGACGGTTAAAACCTGCAGCAGCTGGATGTTCGTCCCTCTTTTATTCTGTTTCTGTTTTCCAGGTGAGACTTCTGTATCAGCAGGCCATCCAACATCTGCCTCTTTCTGCTGCCCTGTGGACTCATGTAATTCACAACTCACTGCATCATCCATACAGAACCAACCACATCTGAGAAAACCCCCAGAACCAGCTGGCTCTGTATCTGCAGCACCTTTATCTACTGACTAGAGTTCTACCTTCAGACTGTGAATGTTCCACAGTTCCAGGTCCCTGAAGTCCACAGAGGAGGGTCCAGATTGATCACTTTAATGGACTTTTCCCATCATTTCTATGACATAGGGTCATAGAAACAATCATTGGTACCCTGGATGTGGTTCTGGTTCTGATCATTCACCAGAGGAAACTTTACAAAGTGCATTCTGGGTAAACTTTCCAGGCTCATATCAGCATGTGTGATGATGGTTGGTCAGAACCAGAAGGACCGTTTTACCTCCACAACACACCAGGACCATCTGTAGAGAGGACTCACTCTGAGGACAGAATACGGTTCTGATATAATCACGTTCTGACTCTGTGGCTGTGAGATGCATGTTTAGGTGAACAGTTAATTCTCAGTGTTCAAACTAGTTTGCAAATGAGCAACAAGTTTCAGTAAATGAGACCTTTGACTGTCTGGAACCTGTTCTGACCGGCCCACTGATACAAGCCTCAGCGTTCACCAGAACACGCTCCTCAGCTCTCAACGTGTTTCCATCGAAGCAGATCAGAGTCAGCCGACTCCTGGGGGTTGGGGTTCTGGTTGGTTCATATGGAATGATTCTACAAACACACAAAAACCAGTTTACACGTCTCACCTGTATGCAGCATGTTCACCTGCCCCCCTCCCCCACAGCGGCTGCTGTCCGAGGCAGCAGAGGGCGGAGCCTGGGAGAAGGTGCGTCGCCTGGTGGACTGCTGCCAGCAGGTGGGGATCAGCCTGAGTCTGAGCGAGCGTCCGGGGGGCGTCGGCCGACCGATCGGCGAGGACCTCTGAGCAAACTGATAATAAACTAATCAGAGGCTGCAGGTGACTGAGTGAGAGACGAGGTAAGGCAGACGTCCCTCCTCCCCCACCTCCTGCAGCTCCTCCCCCAGGACGGAGAGCTCCTCCCCCAGGACGGAGAGCTCCTCCCCCAGGACTGCTCGTGTCCGTAAGTATGTCCTGCTGAGTGACGGCTTCACTCTTCATCACCTTCTCTTTAGTTCTCCCCTTTCAGTTGGATTCATTTCCCTCCCTGTTATTCATTCTGAGGGGGGGTGTGGGGCAGTGGGGGGCAGGGGGGGGTATCAGGGTGTATCTGTGCTGTTGTACCCCCCTGTGTGTTTTAAATTTACCCCCAGAGTGACGCTGCAGCTCGTTTCTTTTCTTTGTGTCCGAGGAAACGCGGACTTTTATTTGTTTAAACTGAACAGAAGCAAACTGATCATTGATTGGCTATCGGCGGCCGCCTGCCTGTGTAGTGTCCTCTGATTGGCTGCCACAGAGACTGATCCCGCCGCCGCAGAACTGATGTGAAACCGGTGTTTGTCAGAACGATTAAAGAGAATCAGCAGCAGAGCCGCCGTCCTCACTGTGTTTTCTACATTAATGTCATTAAATTATTTTCTACAAACATCAGAGTTCAGAGTTTTCATTGTGTCGAGTCTCACGGCTTCATTTCTTCTCTCTGTTCATTCAGTCACGGATAAGGCCTTGTATTTTCTCATCTGTAATTCTTTCACAGTTGAACTGAATAAAGTTGCACCTTTTGTGAAAACCTGAACAAACAGTTCAGTCCACTTGCGAACTCTCAGAACCTCACCTTCATTTAAACGCTGCTGCCAGGAGCTTTTACAGGCTGAACGAGTGCAGAGTTCTGAACATACAGACAGAAACAAACACGGAACTGTTTTAATGTGAACAGCAGCTGATGAAGATTCCTGGAGGAACGACGTGAAGCCTGAAGGAACACCTGCTCAGGTGTGTCACCACTGATACACGTCTGATGAGGAATCATCAATTATCAACTGTCATGGGTTAAACAGGTGACATTTAACCCTAACCTGACCATTAACGCGACTAAGTAGTGACTGCTGTTAACCAGATCATTAACTAGCTGTCAGGGACTGCTGTTAACCAGACAGGAAAGGTCTGATCTTCCTGATCTTGTACAGGATGAATCGACACCACCGAGCAACAGATGCCACATGAGCCTTGAAGGTCAGCTGGTCATCAATCAGATTTAGTGGGTCTGAGTTGGGTTTGATCAGCTGGATGCTGATTCCTTGTTGCAGAGAGGGACTGGCTGGGATGAGAAGGAGCTCAGTCTTAGAGAGGTTGAGCTGAAGGTGGCCAAGATGTCTGCAAGGCACGATGAGATCCAGCAGAGACCGTGTGGTCGTCCAGGGGAACGACAGCATAGCAACGGTATGAGAAACCACGGCCTGGATTATTTAGTGAGGTTGTGTATGCTGAGAAGAGAAGGGGACCGAGCACTGACCCCTGAGGAACCCCTGTGGATAGGCTGTGAGGTTCGGACACTTCTCCCCTCCAGGTCACTCTGAAGTATCTCCTGAGAGGTAGGACATGAACCAGCGGAGGGCAGATCCTGAGATGTCCAGCTCAAGGAGTGTGGAGAGGAGGATGTGGTGGGTCACCGTGTCAAAGGCAGCTGACAGATCTAACAGCAACAGAGCTGAAGACTGTCCAGCAGCTCCAGCAGAACCCAGTGGTTCTGTTACAGAGAGGAGTGCAGTCTGGTAGAGTGACCCCGTTTAGAACCAGACTGATACGGGTCATACAGGTTGTTGTCATAGAGGAAAGCAGAGACTTGGTTGAAGACAGGTCGCTCAAGTACTTTAGACAGGAAGGGCAGGAGTGAAACCGGTCTGTAGTTTTCAACCTGGGCCGGGTCGAGTGCAGGTTTATGGTTATTGGAGCGACTCGGGCTGGTTAATGCAGCAGGAAACACACCCGTAGCAAGTGAGGAGTTGATGATGTGTGTTGCTGAAGGGTTAAGTGCTGAGGAAGTGGTTTGTAAGAGGTTGGATGGTATCGGGTCCAGTGGATTGGTAGTAGGACGAGAGTCCAGCAGGAGCTTGGAGACTTCCTGCTCAGTCAGAGGGAAGAGCCAGGAGAACGTGGCCCTATGAGCTGGAGGCTGGACAGGGAGCTGGTCAGACTCAGAGAACTGGGTACTGATGGCACAGACTTTGTCTGTGAAGAATGAGGCAAACATGTCTGCAGTGAGCAGAGTGGAGGGAGGTGGAGGAGGTGGTAAAGGAGGTAGTGGAGGAGGAGGTGGAGGTGGGTGGACGAGGAGGGTGGTGGAGGAGGGAGTTAAAAGCAGAGGACAATTTTCGAGCAACTGTTGTGCCACAGATTTTGTTCTGACAGTTTTTGGTCTGAGCTGTTTTTAAACTGGAGGAGAATCATGCCAGCAGACCCTGATGGTCGCTGAGGTCAGAGGACCCTCTAGATTTACACCATTTTCTTTCTGCTGCTCTGAGCCCCGCCCTCTGCTTTCAGGTGTCATCAGTGAGCCATGGACAAGGAGGAGGTAGGAGTAGGTTTGGATGTTAGAGGGCAGAGATTGCTCAGGGAGGAGGCTGGTGAGGAGCAGAGAGCGTCTGTGGCCTCGTCAGCCGTGAGTGAGGAGAACCTGCTATGAGGAGACGTGGGGACCAGGACCTCATCAGAAACCTGGGTTGGTGTGAGGAACCGAGGTCGTGGTCTGACAGATGGAGCAGAGTGACACTCAGATTTGCTGTGGAGCAGTTTGGACAGAAAATCAGGTCCAGCTAGTTTCCTGCTTTGTGTGTGGGTGGAGTAGAGACCTGCTTCAGGACTAAAGATGCCATAAGTGACAGAAAGTCACTTCCTTTGTCTGTGTGGATGTTCACATCTCCATGACAACAAGCGGTGTGTCATAGTCCTGGATGGCCGAGAGCAGCATGTCCAGGTCAACTACAGTGTTTCCCAGCAGACACCCTGGAGGACGATATATGACAACATACAGCTGAACCGGTGCAGGGACACCGACTGCAGGTATTCACATGAGGAGTTGTTGCTCGGCAGAGAGCTGAGGGAACTTCCATTTTCACTCCTGTACCACCTCCTCGTCCAGCACCGCGGGGTGGGTGGGAGAAGGTGGAGGCAGCAGAGTGCAGCGGCTGTGGCGGTGTTTTCTGGACGGATCCAGGTTTCAGTCGGGGCTAGGACCTGAATATCTGAAGAATTATCCAGGGTTTGCTGACAGCAGACTCCATAGGCCAAGGCTGAAGGACAGACCAGTGATGGAGGCTTTTGTGAGGGACCGGAGGTTTGCAGGGTCGTACTTTCTGTAGCAAGTGTGTTTTTTCCGAAAGCTTTAGATAGCAGGTATGGTATCGTAGCACATGGTGGGTGAGGCAGGCTACAGATGCAGATAATAGGAAAAGTAGGAAAAGACTAACCAGGTGGTGTCCTTGCTTGGTGAAATCGCACAGGTAGACTCGTAGGTCTTGTAGCTGGTTTGACCAGAATTAATAAGGTGGGTTGCCAGTCAGAGACAAGTCTGACAAAAAAAGAAAAATAGTAACAAAGGAATAAGGTCAAACCATACAAAATGGGTAAACATGCAGACAATGAACAAATTTCAGCATAAGGCAACCAAATGCTCAACAAACACAGACCAGACCACAACTCAATGCAGCAGTGTATTTACAAGTCAGTGAGCAATGTACAGTGAAGCATATAATTTCTACAGTGAATGGTGACAATTATACTCAGTCCAATCCAGTGAAGCGAAAATCCGTCCCGTTTCCCCACAGTTCAGTTCAATCCAGTGATCCTCCCCACAGCCCAAAGTACATTCAAAACTCCGTTCCGGGTTTTACCACGGATCCTCGAACCAAAAATCAAAACAGGAAACTAAAGAGGTTGCATGACTGGTGTAGCGTCTTTTAGCTCAATGCAACCAGTTAATCAGGCGAATATATGCACAAATATCGAGGTACTCACAATACCCGGGACCTGTCGCTCAGTCAGCCGCTCCAACACACCGACAGAACTGACGTCGGCCGGACCGCATCGGCTTTGCTCCGCAGACGCCGGCAGTTCCTGGTAAACTCCAAGGAAATATTTACTCCTTCTGGATTCGGTCTGCTGACGCTCCTATCCAAGAGGATCCTTTGGCTGTCTGGTCCTTCTCGATCCTGGCTTCTTCCAGATTCGGAGATCTCTCTGGTTCGGTAAATCACTGCAGTGAGTTGGCGTGCTCTCACTCCACTGACACACCGGTGCCTCTATGCGGTGTGTTTATTTTCTTTTTTCTGTTTCCTACCTGTCTTTTTTTTTTTTTCAAAACTGCGCAGGCTATGTGGAAAGATGGGGATTGGATGATTGGATGACTGTGGGTGGTATCAGAGGCAACATGAATGAATGTGGGCTGTGGCTTGTTTTGACGGGATCGCTACAGTCCTCCCCCCTTAGTGGAAGCCGACCAAGGGTAAGGCACAATAGGTGGTCCAAAGGTGTATGGTGTTTTAGGATTAATGGACATGTTGGAACTGGGTTCAATGTCTGAGTCAGTTATGCTTTCATCCCGATACTGTTCTTGTCCCCCTGCAGACTCCTTCGCCCCTCTTTTTTTGGCAGCAGAACAAGCGGTGTCTGAGAAAGCCAAAAAGTCCTCCTCATCCGAGTCTTCCTCCAGGATCTCCAGAACACGTTGGCACTCCTGCAGCTCTTCAGCGGTGGGGAAGCACGGCTTCAATTGAGAAATGTGCACCACCTTTAGGTCTTGGCCTGAAGCCTCTAAGACCACCTGGTAGTTCACTGGCCCGACTTGTTGCACAATCCGATATGGTCCTTGCCATTTCGGGACTATTTTGGCTGCAAAGGATTTTTCCACTTTGGAGAGTGGATGAGCTCGTACCCAGACCCTGGTTAGTTCCTTAAACTCCATGTTTCGTCGATGCTTATCATAGTTTCTTTTCTGCCGGTGTCAGGCCAAATCTAAATTCTTGGAAACAAAGGAACCTAAATTATGCAACTGTGCTATTTTAGTATAAGCAGGAGTGTCTGGAGCTGTCTCCTGGGTTTGCAGCACAACATCAAGAGGTCCTCTCAGCGCACGACCAAGGTTCAGTTCGGCCGGAGAGACTCCAGTGGACTCCTGAACTGCAGAGTTGATGGCAAAGCGGAACTCTGTGAGGTGTTTGTCCCAATGTTTGTGCTGATCTCCAACATTGGAGGCAATCCTTGTTTTTAGGGTACGGTTCACTCTCTCTGTTAGGTTGGTTTGGACATGATAGGCAGATGTTAACTTGTGTCCCACATTCCAGGTTCGACACACCGTTTGGAAAACAAACTAGACAAATTGGGGGCCACGGTCAGAGAGGATGAAGTTGGGTATGCCCCATCGGGTTAAGATATCTTTCACAAGGACTTGAGAGATGGTTTCTGCTGTGGCATTCCTTATGGGAAACAGTTCTACCCACCGAGAGTAATAGTCCACAAAAACCAATAGGTAGACATTTTGTTTGGAGCTCTTCGGGAAAGGACCCATCAAATCTACCCCAAGCATTTCCCAGGGGTGATGAACTACAGTTTGCTTGAGTTTTCCAGCCAATTTCCTGTTTTCAGGTTTGT